TTCCCAGGGCCAAAATATGAGCAACCCACTGCGCTGACCAAAACAGCGGCATTAAAGACTGATGGTGCTTTTCTACCCAGAATCTCCAGTCTGGCTTCCTTCTTGAGTCCGTAATAGGCGACTCTGCCTTCCCAGAGCTCCAAATATCAGTCAGAAGGGGAACCAGTCCTTTACTCTGCACCAAGAGCTGCTGCGCCGAGGTGCCAGCAAAACTGCTGCGCCGGCCACAAGAGTTGTGCTGGCGACCCGTGGGGCTCCTCCACTGGGAATCTTCTGGTCCGTGAGTGACAAAAATTTGTCTGAAAGTGTGGCATCCTCTCGTTCTCTGCTCTTTCACTGGGAGCTGCTATCCCGAGATGTTAGTGATCAGCCATCTTGGATCGTATCCTCAAAATACACTCTCTGTAAGCAGTGTATTTCTTCTTCTCCCCCTCTCCTTCTCTATCCCTTCCTCTCCCCTCCTCCTCCTTCTCCTCCTCTTCTTCTTTTCCTCCTCCTCCTTCTGCTTATTCCCCTCCTTATTCTTCTCCTTCTCCTTCCTTCTTTTTTCGTCCTTCTTCTTCTTCTTTCTTCGACAGAATCTCCCTCTGTCACCCAGCCTGGAGTACAGTGGCACAATCATAACTCACTACAGCCTCAAACTCCTGAGATCAAGCATTCCTCCCACCCCAGCCTCTCAAGTAGCCAGGACTACAGGTGTGTGCCACCATTCGCAGCTAATTTTAAATAATATTTTGTAGAGATGGGATCTTGTTATGTCATCCAGGCTGATCTCAAACTCCTGGCCTCAAGTAATCCTCTCATCTCAGCCTCTTCAAACACTGAGATTACAGGCATGAGCCATTTCTCCCGGTCCAACTTGTATATCATTGGTTGTCTTCTATCTGCCAATGATTTTCAAATCTACATTTATAATATTTATAGGCCAATTTTCCCATACATCTAAAGGTGCATTAGAATCCTAAAAGAAAACTCGGCAAACACCATTCTGGATATTGGCCTTGGGAAAGAATTTATGACTAAGTTCTCAAAAGTAATTGCAACAAAAACAAAAATTGACAAGTTGAACATAATTAAAGAGCTTCTGCACAGTAAAAGAAACTAGCAACAGAGTAAATAGACAACCCATGCAAACTATGTATCTGACAAAGGTCTAATATCCAGAATCTATAAGGAACTTAAACAATTGAGCAAGCAAGAAACAACCTATTTAAAAAGTGGGAAAAAGACATGAACAGACACTTCTGAAAAGAAGACATATATGCAGCCAAGAAACATGAAAAAAATGCTCATCACTAAGGCCAGGCGCGGTGGCTCCAGCCTGTAATCCCGGCACTTTGGGAGGCCGAGGCGGGTGGATCATGAGGTCAAGAGATCGAGACCATCCTGGTCAACATGGTGAAACCCCGTCTCTACTAAAAATACAAAAAAAAAAAAAAAAAAATTAGCTGGGCATGGTGGCGCATGCCTATAATCCCAGCTATTCAGGAGGCTGAGGCAGGAGAATTGCCTGAACCCAGGAGGCGGAGGTTGTGGTGAGCCAAGATCACGCCATTGCACTCCAGCCTGGGTAACAAGAGCGAAACTCCATCTCAAAAAAAAAAAAAAAATGCTCATCACTAATCATCAGAGAAACGCAAATCAATACCACAAAGAGGTAATATTTAGGCCGGGCATGGTGGCTCATGCCTGTAAACCCAGCACTTTGAGGGGGCCAAGGCGGGTGGATCACTAGGTTAAGAGATTGAGACCATCGTGGTCAACATGGTGAAACCCCATCTCTACTAAAAATACAAAAATTAGCTGGGCATGGTGGTGCGTGCCTGTAATCCCAGCTACTCAGGAGGCTGAGGCAGGAGAATTGCCTGAACCCAGGAGGTGGAGGTTGCGGTGAGCCGAGATCGCGCCATTGCACTCCAGCCTGGGTAACAAGAGCGAAACTCCGTCTCAGAAAACAAAACAAAACAACAACAAAAAATTTCACACCAGTTGGAATGACAAAAAGTCAAAAAAGAGGCTGGGCACAGTGGCTCATGCCAGTAATCCCAGCACTTTGGGAGGCCAAGACGAGTGGATCATCTGAGGTCAGGAATTCAAGACCAGCCTGGCCAAGAAGGTGAAACCCCACCTCTTTTAAAAATACAAAAATTAGCTGGGTGCAACAACACATTCCTGTAATCCCAGCTACTCAGGAGCCTGAGGCAGGAGAATTGCTTGAATTCATGAGGCAGAGGTTGCAGTGAGCTGAGATCATACCGTTGCACTCCAGCCTGGGTGACAGAATGAGATTCCATCAAAAAAAAAAAAAAAAAAAAAGTCAAAAAGCAACAGATGCCAGTGAGGCTGCATAGAAAAGGGAAAGCTTATATGCTGTTGGTGGGAGGGTAAATTAGTTCAGCGACCGTGGGAAGGTTGCTCAAAGAACTTCAAACAGAACTGTCATTCAACCCAGCAATACTATTACTGGGTATACAGCCAAAAGAAAATAAATAGCTCTACCAAAAATACACATGTACTTTTATATGCATTGCAGTGCTGTTCACAAAAGCAAAGACATGGAATCAACCTGGGTTCCCATCAACAGTGGATTGGATAAAGAAAATGTGGTACATATACACCAATGAATACTACACAGCCGAAAAAGAATGCAATCATGTCCTTTGCAGCAACATGGATGAAGCTGGAGGCCGTTATCCTAAGCAAATTAACAGACGAACAGAAAACCAGGCCAGGCGCAGTGGCTCATGCTTGTAATCCCAGCACTTTGTGGGGGTGAGGCGGGTGGCTCTGAGGTCAAGGATTTGAGACCGGCTTGGCCAACATGATGAAACCCTGTCTTTACTAAAAATACAAAAATTAGCTGGGCTTGGTGGCGAGAGCCTGTAATCCCAGCTACTCGGGAGGCTGAGGCAGGAGAATCGCTTCAATCTGGGAGGTGGAGGTTGCAGTGAGCCAAGATTTGCATTCCGGCCTGGGCAACAGAACAAGACTCCATCTGGGTGGGTTGGCGGGGGTAAGAACAAAAACCAAATACCAATATTCTTATAAGTTGGAACTAAACATTGGATACTCATGAACATAAAAACAGCAACAATAGATCCAGGGAATTACTAGAAGAGGTAAGGAGGGAAGGAGACAATGGTTGAAAAACTACTGGGTACTATGCCTACTACCTGGGCAATGGGATCAGTCATACCCCAAACCTCAGCATCATACAATATAGCCATGCAACCAACCTGGACATGTACACCCTTAATCTAAAATAAAAGTTGGAATTATTTAAAGGCAAAAGTAATAAATACAGGTTCATTAGATATCACCACTTCAGTGTATTACCAACTCTTCAAACTCAGCAGGTTCAAACTGAACTCATGATATTTTCCTTCAAATCTACTATTCCTGTTTTCTCGTTTAAGGAATGCGACCCACACAGTTAACTACTTACCTACTCTGAACTCCCAGGAGTCTTGACTCACCTTCTCTCTCAGCCTTCACATCCAATCATTGCCTGATTCCTATTAACTTTAGTTCCATAAATCACCAATTTGTTCACAGCTCTTCATCTCTACTGATATCACCTGGACTACTGTGGCATTATCCTGATGTATCTGTCTGCCCCATGTGTTCCCTCCCTTTACTTTAGTGTTTTTCAGACTTCTAGATGCAACCTATCAGTGATTCATGGAAATTAGTTTGGTGGTTTGTGACCAGAATTCTTCTAAAAATGAAATGAACTAGCATAGAAAACATTAGAGAGTGTAATAATAGGTACTGTTTAGTGTGCTTATTGAGTTATAAAACATATTTTCATTGCTGGTTTCCATCAATGAAGTTTAGAAAACATTAGTTCATTTTTTTGTATTGTAGCCAAAATGGTCTTTCCAGTCAGATCATGTTATTCATTCCCTGTTTTAAACTTTCGGTGAGTTATCAGTTTCTTCCTGGTAGAGTTGAAACTCCTTAACATGCTGTGTTAGGCCCTTAATGACCTAGGCCCAGCTTTCCTCAAGCCTCACTTCTCTTCATTCTTCTCCCTCTATGTAAGCTCTAGCCAATGAAATGACTCATAGTTCTATGAATATATTCATAATCTTGTTCTCAGGCATCGTTATATGCCATTTATTCTTTCTCGAGTGCCTCCTTATCCCCATCTATGACTCCATATCATACTTTAGGTATGTTTAGCTAACACCTTCTCCAAGAAACTTTCCTTGACTCCCCAAAGCAGGGACAGGAATATTCCTGTATGTGCCAATTGTAATCTGTATTTATCCCTCTCTGAACATGTACATTTTATTAAAGTTGCCTATTATTTATTTTCTTATCTTCATACCAAACTGTAAGTTTTTCGAGGATAGGGACTATATTTTGTCCATCATTGTATCCCAAAGCCTAGTACTGCTTCACATATAATGTGTGCTCAATATATAGGGGAAGAAAAGGCATGTTGGAATAATTTGGTGTTTTAAGGATATATAAAAATACTGCTTCACCTAGCATGGTGGTGAGCACCTGTAGTCCCAGTTACTTAGGAAGCTGAGGCAGGAGGATAGTGTGGGTTTAGAATTTTGAGGCTTGCTGTGCACTGTGATTGCACCTGTGAGTAGTCACTGCACTGTAGCCTGGGCAACATAGCAAGACCTCTTTAAAAAATGAACTGCTCAAAACATTTTGCTTGTCATTTCTATCTTGTCTTTAATAATGGGTGGTTCTTCTATTACACATAACATTTGGTATTATATAATAATGTGGTATGCATGTTTGAAAATCTACAAAGGTCTCAATTTTGCTTAAATATGATAGAGTATATAAAATGAATATAAAGTGATATTGTTATAAAGTGTATGATATATTAAACTTACTAAAAAATCATTTGGTTTCAAATAGAAATTGCCGAATGGTTGAACTGAAACACAGATTCCACATTTATCACATTTGCTCAGATGTTTTATATGTTTATAAACAATGTTTTTAAAAGACTCTTTTCCATTTTAAACTAGAATGTTCCAGAAGTAAACAATGAAAACAGTGAAATGTCAACTGAAAAACCAGAAAACACCATTATACAGAAATATAATACTGAGCAAGAAATAAGGGAAGAAAATATGGAGAATTTTTGTTCAGATACTGAATACAGAGGAAAAGAGGAAAAGAAAGAAGGCTCATTTATGGAGGAAATCATTATAGAAGGTAACCTTAAAATTATATTGGTATTTTCTAATATGTATGTTGATGTTCACAGTATATTTTTGGGAAAATTACATTTCTGCCCCCCCCTTTATGACTCATTCCTTGTCTTTTTGCATCTGGTTTCTGCCTTCACTGTTTTGCTGAGAATGTTCTTGGAGTCACCAGTAACCTTCTGATGACCAGACCTAGGGCATTTTTCTTAATTCAGATAACCTTTCTGCAACCATTCGAATACTTTATTAATTCTTCCATTTTTAAAAAGCATTATTTAAAGATGATACTGATTGGAAGTGTTCAAACCTAGGCTAAACAACCACTTGGTGGAGATGTTGTAGAGAGAATGATTGGACTTTTAAAAAGTCCTTCAAAAACCTAAAATTTATATTCTAGATGAACTATACTAAAAAGTTGAGATATTTGTTAGAATGTAGATTTCAATATAGAATATTGAATAAGTAGATATTTTATATGCTTGTCCAAAACTATTCTGGAATTTAAAAATACTCACTGGGTAATGAATACAAGTGATGACTGTCAGTCTTGAAGAAGCCGGCTAGCATTTTCTGGATACTACTGGATTTGGGCAGTAACCTCTTAGATAAATCAATTTTTATCAGTTCTGTGTTTATGTGGAATTGTAGTATATTTCCTAAATGAAGCAGATAGACTAGAAAAATAAAACATTTTGTAATACCTCAACTTCCCCTTTTTAAAACCAAAAATACTTTGCTGTTATGAAATTAAAGTTTAATATGGGTACAGCCAAATATTTAGCATGCTAAAGATATACTCATTATAATAAAGGCAACAAAATATTTAGGTAATACTGATGTCATTAAGTTTCTAAAATTATTGACCAATGAAATATTTAAGGTTAAATGTTTTTATAAAAATAGGTGATAAATAAGTTTTACGAAACCAGGCTTTAGTGTATAATGTAAAATTTTACTGTGTTCCCATCATGACAGATTTACAGCTTTTTGAAAAAAGCTTCAAGAATGAAATTGATACTACTGTATCTCAGGATGAAAATCAAAGTGAAATCTCCTTAAGCAAAACTCTCTGCTTAGATAAAGAAGTAATTAGTCAAGGACAAACCTCGAATGTTATGGACAATAGAAAATCAGTTGCTACAGAAATAAAAGACAAGATGTGCTTGGAAAAAGACAATGGATGTACAGAATTAAAATCACCAAATAATCCTTTTTTAGTGTTAGATACAGTGATAACAGAAAAAATACATATAGAAAGAACTGAAGGATTAGATGTTCACCATACAGATGTACATCTGGAGGTTGAAAATAAAAAAACATCATTTAACAGTATTTTCAATGAGACAGCACACAATACATATAATAATAAAGATGTTTCTGAAAACGAACCATTCAAACAATTCACATTGCTTCCAGGGACTCGAGAACCTGCTATAGGGAAGGAAATTCCAAATAGTGACCAAACCAAAGCAGATGTGGATTCATCTCGAGATATAAAAAAAAATCCTGTTCCATGTCAGAAACATAGTTTACAGAATTCAAGTAATGTTATGTTAGATGATGAACAGTGTAAAATAAAACAAAGACAACTGTTAATTAAAAAAAGTGAGTGCAGCATATTACCTTCTAAACAAAGTTCAGATTTTCTGCAAGTCTGCAATGATACTTCAGAGAAGCCTGAACTAACTGTTCCCTGTGATACAGTAATCGATCACCAGGTTTCATCTGCTGCTTTTAGTGATAATTCAAAAGTACTTCTTAAGAACTCAGATAAAAATATTAATAGTATGCCTATGTTGATGAAACCCAGCTCAAGCACTGGGGCAAAAACTATGTGTAAAAATATGAGTGATATGCAAAATAGTCAATTTAATAACTGTTTGGAATATTTAGAAAACAATAATGTGAACATTTGCCATCTTCATCTTAACAATGAGAATAGTCATGCTTCACAAGCCAAAGATGTGAAAACTGCTGTTCATATGAAAACCTGCACAGAAATACAGTTTTCCAATAAAGAGAATCAGATTGATGAGAATCAGGTAACTGAAGCCACAAAAAATGACTTCTTCCTTTTTGTGAGCATTAATGAAAGACAGCATACATTGTTAAATAATACAGAGAAAACAGAGTCATTAAATGACATCGTTACAGGAAAAATGTTCAGTGAAGGACAGCTGGAGGAATCACATTCATTTCACATAAAGCCATCTGGAGATTTAGTAAACAGAAGCGGAAGGTCAACCTTTGATCTTTCAACTTCAGATAAAAAAACTGAGAAAACTCCAGTATACATGAATTTTTCAGCCCCCGGACCTTGGTCAAAAGTAAATCACATTGAAAGTCAAACAGCAAGCAGTTCAACCCGTAGCATTTCTTTGTTGCTGAAGGAGAGACCACTAGATCCATCAGAAAACAAAAAGATCATTTCCATGGCTCTTTGTAAAAATATTGCTGGAGATGATGTCAGAAAGGATATTGGACCAGGTAAGAAAATAATGTTTTAGTTCTTAAAATGTTTTTCTACTTACTCTTCATAAATGCTTACAATCATATTGTTAACTTTTGTCTTAAAAGTTTGTTTTCATTAAGGAATAGCAAAACCAACAGATGTGAGTCATTGTTTTAAATTAGGAACAACTACTTAATATGATTCTCTTGTTTTTTAACTTTTAGAGCAAATGCAGTGAAGTAGTTAAGGCTTCTGCCAAGTGTGCATATTTATTGCTCTTCTTTCTATACATTCACATTCATCGTTAAAAACTTCCTTCCCTCAGAACATTTTAGTTTCTCTCCTGTGTTGTCTGTCTTTGCCCAATTTCTCTCTCTTTCCTTAATTTTTCTATTTTTATCTGTCCCTTCATCCACACCACAAATCCGGCTTTTCCTTCTGTTTTATAAGTAATAGTGAAAGATAACATCAATATATTTCCTATGACCAGTATTTGTCAGTTTAAAACACTTTACATTGAATCCCTTAACATATATTAATGCATTCAGATGTTACAGAGAATAGAGGGATTTTTCTATTCTTAAAAACTGCCTTAGGCCGGGCCTGGTGGCTCACGCCTGTAATCCTAGCACTTTGGGAGGCCGAGGCAGGTGGATCTCGAGGTTAGGAGATCAAGACCATCCTGGCTAATATGGTGAAACCCCATCTCTACTAAAAATACAAAAAATTAGCCAGGCGTGGTAGCATGCGCCTGTAGTCCCAGCTACTCGGGAGGCTGAGGCAGGAGAATTGCTTGAATCCAGGAGGCGGAGGTTACAATGAGCCAAGATTGTGTCACTGCACTACAGCCTGGGCAACAGAGCAAGACTCCGTCTCAAAAAATAAAAAAAAAATAAAAAAAAAAAGCCGGTCGTGGTGGCTCACACCTGTAATCCCAGCACTTTGGGAAGCCAAGGCGGGTGGATCACGAGGTCAAGATATTGGGACCATCCGGTCAACATGGTGAAACCCCGTCTCTACTAAAAATACAAAAAATTAGCTGGGCATGGCGGCGCGTGCCTGTAATCCCAGCTACTCAGGAGGCTGAGGCAGGAGAATTGCCTGAACCCAGGAGGCGGAGGTTGCAGTGAACCAAGATCGTGCCATTGCACTCCAGCTTGGGTAACAAGAGCGAAACTCCATCTCAAAAAAAGAAAAAAAAAAACCAAAAACCCTGCCACATGAAAATGACATAATGTCCAAGCTTTAAAATACTCCAGAAAAAAGTAGGGGGAGAGGTATTACTTAATATTGATGGGTACTGAAGTACATAGTATGTTTTTGTTTTATTTTGTTTTCTGTTTTGAGATAGGGTCTCACCTGTTGCCCCACCTGGAGTGCAGTGGTATGATCATAACTCACTCCAAGTTTGACCTCCCAGACTGAAGGAATCCTCCTGCCTCAGCCTCCTGAGCAGCTGGGAGTATAGACATGCCACCACACCCAGGTAATTTTTAAAATTTTTGGTAGAGACAGGTCTCACTTTGTTGCCCAGGCTAGTTTTGAATTTCCAGGCTCAAGTGATCCTCCTGCCTCAGCTTCCCAAATTGCTGGGAGCCACCATATCCAACCTGGAAATTTTTCACTAAAGTATTTAAAAATAAAAACATGCTATGTATCATGAATTGGTGCTGTATGAATGTAAATTGAAAATAAAAAGCAGCAGTTTAAGAAGTATGATCATGAGGAAAATGGTGTTTTTATTTTCAGGATAGCATGTTTTCTTTTCTTTTCTTTTTTTTTTTTTTTTGAGATGGAGTCTCACTCTGTCGCAGGCTGGAGTGCAATGGCATCCTCAGCTCACTGCAACCTCCGCCTCCTGAGTTCAAGCAATTCTTCTGCCTCAGCCTCCCAAGTAGCTCAGACTATAGGTGCATGCCACCACACCCAGCTAATTTTTGTATTTTTAGTAGAGATGGGGTTTCACCATGTTGGTCAGGATGGTCTCAATATCTTGACCTCGTGATTCGCCTGCCTCAGCCTCCCAAAGTGCTGGGATTACAGGCGTGAGCCACCACACCCAGCCAGCATGTTTTCTGTTAATAGCAATCTCATAGTCAAAAGTTGCTGAGGTTGTTAAGGACATTCTTAGATTTTAAGGGAACTTTGTGGGTTTAACATTATGAACTTAGACACCTTAAAAAGATGTAGATTCCAAGAAAAGCTTTTATATGACCCTCAGATTTAACAGGCTTCTTTTATAAAGGAAATTGAGAAAAATTTAAAGAGGATATTTGGTGGTTAAAAACAAAAACATCTCGTTTACTAGCATGAATGGGAAATAATGCAGGCAAAAATCAAATAACCAAAACACTGTGTAACCTCATTTCCCAAACTAATTTTGCAATGTTCCAAAATATATTATTTAAGATTCCATTAACTTTTAGTTAGGTACTGCTTTAGGTGCTGGTCTAAAAATCTATCTACCATTTTTTCTGAAGTCCTTTCTTGTAAGTTAAATTTCGTTGATATATAAGATATAATTATATAAGATATAAAGGGTGATATCTAAAATTCTGTCGAAATTCAACCTGTGAAATCCTCTTAAATATGCCATCAGTATCTTTTAACCTGTATAATTTGCATATTTCTAACTTATTTCTATCAACTTATTAAAGCCGAATGTGACCCCTCCTTTGTTGGACTTCTCACTGTGGCCAATTTCTTTAAATCGTTTATAAATGTGGTCTCTGGTCCTAACTTTTTCCCTTAATCTGAATTGGCAAAATATTCACTATGTAAATGTGTGGGCAATACAGTAACCAGGGGAATAATGATAACACTGTATGAGTTATTTTGTTTTAGAAGGTATTTATACCATTTCTTTCACTCCTTTTAATGTGGAATTATAGTAATCAGGTTTTAGAAAGTAGCAATAATAAAATCTTGGTTTCTGAAATGAAATCCTTGGTATAAGAGCAAAGTCTTGGAAAACTGCAAAATATTCAACATAAAAATAGAAACTGTTGCTTGTTAAATACAAAAGCATAGGATCAGAAACAAGTTCAGTCACTAAAATGAGTACCTAGAAAAAAACTCAGTTCTGCCATTTCCTCTTTGTCAATCAGATAATACCAGCATTAACAGAGTTGCTGACACTTTGAATAACTGGAGTATCCATCCAGATCCCAAGGGAGAACCCAGTCAAGAGAAGAATGCAATTGCAAAGACTTTTTATGATTCTTCTTTTCCCACAGAACATGTAAGTCAATTAAAAATATTGCCGAGCAGACCTTAGTGAGCTAATTCTACAGATATGTGTAGAATTGTACGCATCTGGATGCTTTAAGACCTAACTGATCTCCAAAATAATATCAAGAGGGCAATGTGGCACCATTTTTCACAATTAAGGTTGATAGAAAACAGCAGGAAAAAGTCACAGTGTATAAATCAAATAGATACAATCCAGCCTGTTTTGGGAAGGAGAGTGTGAGGCATCGGATTATATACTTCTACTTTTTATTCATCTAAATTGGAAAAGTGGTATTTAAGCATTTAAAACTTTATGTTAATACAAGATGATATCTAAAATTAAGCTAATCAAGTCTAATTATTTTTAATAATGCTTAAGTTAATTTACATTATTTTTGGAAATTGAGATGGAAAGAATTGAAAACTCAGAATACATGTGAAAGGATCAAGTATTCATGTGATAATGTATGGATGTATGTATTAAGCAAAGTATTTGTAGAAATTATATGACTTCCTGGAGTCTATTTGTCATAAGGAAAGCAACTAACTATAGCAGGAAGGTTATCTGATTAAATGTATAAGTTTTATATCATAGTGTGTAGAACTTTAATAAGAAAAAGGTTGCAGTGTTCAAAGTCTATTAAACAACTTTCACTTTAACACATACAAAATGAATATTATAGTATTAACACATCCTTAACAAATAACAGCTTTAGCAATGCATTTTATTTTCATTTCTAAATAGGAGAAACCTCAAGTTAGATCGTATACCTCTTCTGAGAGCTGAGACAAAAGTCAGCAACTACCCTTGATGTGGTTTGGCTTTGTACCCACCCAAAGCTCATCTTGAATTGTCACTCCCAACAATTCCCAAGTGTCATGGGAGGAACCTGGTGGGAGGAATTGAATCCTGGGGGTGGGTCTTTCCCGTGCTGTTTGCATGATAGTGAATAAGTCTCACAAGATCTGTTTTAAAAATGGGAATTTCCCTGCAAGAGCTCTCTTCTCTCTTGCTGCTGCCATTTAAGAATTGCCTTTCACCTTCCACCATGATTATAAGGCCTCCCCAGCCACATGAAACTGTAAATCCATTAAATCAGTTTAATGCATTTCCCAGTCTCGGGTATATCCTTAGCAGATTGAAAACAAACTAATACAGTAAATTGGTACTAGGAGTCTCTAGTGTTGCTGAAAAGATACCTGAAAATGTGGAAGTGACTTTGGAACTAGGTAACAGGCCAAGGTTGGAACAGTTTGGAAGGCTCAGAAGAAGACAGGAAAATGTGGGAAAGTTTGGAACTCCCTAGAGACATGTTGAATGGCTTTGACCAAAATTCTGATAATGGTATGGATGATGAAATCCCATTTAAGGTAGTATCAGATGGAAATGAAGAACTTGTTGGGAACTGGAGCAAAGGTGACTTTTGTTATGTTTTAGCAAAGACATTGGTAGCATTTTGCCCCTGCCCTAGATAGAGATTTGTGGAACTTTGAACTTGAGAGAGATGATTCAGGGTATCTGGTGGAAGAAATTTCTAAGCAGCAAAGCATTCAGGAGGCAACTTGGGTACTGTTAAAGGCATTTAGTTTTATAAGGGAAACAGCATAAAAGTTTGGAAAATCTGCAGCCTGAAATAGAAAAGAAAATCCCATTTTCTGAAGAGAAATTCAGGCTGGCTCTGAAATTTGCATAAGTAACAAGGAGCCAAATGTTAATCTCCAAGACAATGGGGAAAATGTCTCCAGGTCAAGTCAAAGGTCTTCATGCAGCCCGTCCCATCAAAGGCCCAGAAGCCTAGGAGGAAAAAATGGTTTTCTGGGCTGTGCCCAGCATCCCCATGCTGTGTACAGCCTAGGGACTTAGTGCCCTACATCCCAGCCACTCCACCTGTGCTTAAAAGGGGCCAAGACACAGCTCAGGCCATTGCTTCAGAGGGTTTAAGCCCCAAGCCTTGGCAGCTTCCATGTGATGTTGACCCTGAGAATGCACACAAGTCAAGAATTGAGATTTGGGAACCTCTTCCTAGATTTTAAAGGATGTATGAAAATGCCTGGATGTCCAGGCAGAAGTTTGCTGAAGGGGCGGGGCTCTCCTGGAGAACCTCTGCTAGGGCAATGTGGGATCAGAGCCCAGAGTCCCTACTGGGGTGCTGCCTAATGGAGCTGTGAGAAGACGGCCACTGTCCTCCAGACCCCAGAATGAGATCCAGCAACAGCTTACACTGTGCATCTGGAAAAGCCACTCAATGTTGGCCCATGAAAGCAGCCAGGAGGGAGACTGTACCCTGCAAAGCCGCAGGGGTGCAGAACTGCCTAAGACCTGGCTGCCCTGATGGCTTTTGGACTTGCATGGGCCTTTGGCCCCTTTGCTTTGGCCAGTTTCTCCCATTTGGAATGGCTATGAGTACCCTGTGCTCCCACTGTAGGAAGTAACTGGCTTGCTTTTGACTTTACTGGCTCTTAGGCGGAAGGGACTTGCATTGTCTCAATGAGATTTTGGACTTTTGAGTTAATGCTGAAATAAGAGTTTGGGGGACTGCTGGGAAGGTGTGATTGGTTTTGAAATGTGAGGTAAGATTTGGGAGGAGCCAGGGGCACAATATGATTTGGCTGTGTCCCCACCGAAATCTCATCTTGAATTACAATTGGTCTCACAATTCCCACATGTCATGGAGGAACCTGGTGGGAGGTAACTGAATCATGGGGACCGGTCTTTACTGTGTTGTTCTCATGATAGTGAATAATAACCATGAAATCTGATGGCTTTCAATGTGGCAATTTCCCTGCACAAGTTCTCTTCTTTTGCTGCTGCCATGTAAGAATTGCCTTTTGCCTTCCACCATGATTATGGAGGCCTCCCCAGTCACATGGAACTCTAAGTTCATTAAACCTATTTTTTCTTCCCAGTTTCTGCTATGTCTTTATTAGCAGTGTGAGAACAGACTAAGACACCCTTTTCACATTTTCCTAATTGAGCTCATCAGGCAACAGTACAGTTTCCACTTGGTCTATTTAAGTGTGTATTATTAAAAATATAGTGACTAAAGAGCAATAACTTTGGTATTAGAAAATCTAAGTTTTAACCTTGGCCAACTGGATAAGTCAAAGAATCAAAACAAAGAGGAAGCTTGAAGGCATTAAAGCTAAACATCCATTTCTAATTATGGTGAATCCTTAACCCTTGTAAGATAGCTGTTCTACTTTCAAACATCTCCCTTGAAAGCCCATTTTTATAATTAATCTAATGGGGAAGTTCTTTCTTTTTGTCTAATTCTTCATGCTCTATCTGCAACTAATGTTGCTTTTAAGAAAGTATTTTTGGCCAGGTGTGGTGGCTCATGCCTATAATCCCAGCTTTGGGAGGCTGAGGTAAGCAGATCACAAGGTAGGAGTTTAACACCAGCCTGGCCAATATGGTAAAACCCGTCTACTAAAAATACAAAAATTGGCCAGGCGTGGTGGCAGGTACCTGTAATCCCAACTACTTGGGAGGCTGAGGCAGAACTGCTTGAACCTAGGAGGCAGAGGGTGCAGTGAGCCGAGATCACACTACTGCACTGCAGCCTGGGCAATAGAGTGACTTCTTTCATCTAAAAAAAAAAAAAAAAAAAATTTATAGACTTTTAAACTTTTTCATCCTGCAAGGATTTTTTTTGTTTTTTGTTTTTTTTTTTAAATACAGATGAAGTAACAGTGACATAAACGTGAAATAACTTTCCAGGGTCATTAAGACATGGTAGGTGGTGGACCTAGGCTAGGTATATCTTGGCTCTTAGTCAAATGCTATCTTACATTTTCTCAACCTTCAAAATAGAAAAAAATGTTTATTTTCAAAGACTTGTGCATATAAAGCAAACTCAATTCACTGGCTGAATAGACATTTTCCAAGTGCTTATTACTTTGTGCCAAGTACTATGGTAAGCATCACTGTATTAGATTAAAGCTTGAGTATAAAATATCATGTAATGTGGGGCAAATTCAAAAGTGGATCTCCTTACAGATTTAAGACATAGCCACACCCATTCCTTTGCACACTGTAAATGAGTTTTTGCACAGCACTAAGAAATGAGCTGTTGTAAGAGGCCATTTGGCCCACAAAGCTGAAAATACTTACTCTGGCTCTTTATGGAAAAAGTTTATCAACCTCTGTTCTAAATCAATTATATGAAAACTTATAGCCAAAAAATTGATGTTCTTTTTATTTTTCAACATTATTTTATGTACAGCGTACATCAACTCTGTTTAATTCAGGGAAGATATTAAGTACCAATCTACTTTCTCTGGGTTCAAAGTAACTTGAAAAGATGCTATGTTTTTCGTTCTTGTTAATGGCATTAGGTTGGCAGCCTGCTGCAATCTTGATTATAACCAGGAATGAGAATGGAAGGCCAGAGCAAGCAAAGCAAGCCACTTAGTTTTTTTATATCCAATGAATTAGATTCATTTAAGTTAAATTTAAAAATATAATCCCAGGCAGTAATAAAAGGACTGGTACCAAGTGATGGGACATTTTTAGGCCAAAAATTAGATCTTGTGAGGCTGAAAGAGGAAATAGGTGATAAATTTCTAAAAAGAGGAGATAGGAGGGGAAACAACAAAGATAGATGGCAATATATCTTGACAACAGCTAGATCTAAAATTACTGTGCAGAGGCTGCAGAACCCTCAGGTAAGCTAAACAGGACAAGTTTTGTTGAGTGTAAACATTAGTTATTCCATACTGTACCTTGTTTCTCTAAAGCCAATCCCTGCTCCTACCCTTAACACCAAGTAGGTAGTTAAGAAGAAAGAAACTAAAGCACTTTAGTTCTAAAGTGTAAACGTGTCCATCCTTTCCATCAAGATAAAAAAGTCAAAGAATCGGGATTTTGGGAAATTGTTAATTTGTACTTGGATGCCAAATACACCAAAATGAACCTAGCATTTTGATGGCAAAATGGGACATTAGATCATGCAGCTCACCAGTCATTTTACTTCAGAATTAGTAGCAACCTAGATTTCGATTTCATCTATTTTTCCCTGTTTTTGGTACTGAATGAATTACTTAAAATCTTTCCTGGCCCCATGAACTAAATGAAGTATGGTGAACACACTTGTATAGTAGACACTATCAGAAACATTTTATCCATTACCAAATAGTTATTCTTTCCAGTAATAGCATCAGGGAACTAAAAGGAGCAAATGAGTAAACTGAAGCCCACAAAAATTAAATGACTTGCCTAAGTTGTCTTAGCAGTTCTGTGCACACTTTTGGAAGAAAAAAGGCAATCAGACAAATATGAACACAGAATCACCCCAAAGATCAGTTAAAACTCTGAGGAGACTAGTGGTTGACTATAAAATTTTCAGGAAGGGAGCCAAACAGAGCAATCCAAAAGGAACAATCCTTAGGGAGCCATGAACTTACCATTCTAAACATTTAAGTTCATTTAAGAAATAAATATTACTACGTAATCTAACACTGAAAATGACAATGTTACTAATATGCCACTTTTACCAAATTGAAAAAGATTTTAATGTAAGGCAGTACTCAAAGATCTTCACAAAGATTTCTGAACAAATGGTATTCACTGCAGCCTAGTTAATAACTGTGATCATTTTCTTAAAATTTAAATGTCCAAAAATAAATCACAGAACACAGAATATAACAGCTATCCTCTTAACAGACTTAAGAACAGGAGGAAATGCTAAAAATGTTCAACACAGCATATAAACCAATAAAAATATGACCCCAATATTTAAAAAGTGTTTACAGAAAAAGACCAGGAGATATACTCTTTAATGGAGGCTGGGATTGTGGGTGATTTTAATGTAATTCTATCCTGTTCCATATTTCTAAAATACATGTGCATATCCCTTACAACTAAAAAACAATACAGTATTACTCACTCCTGTAATCCTAGAACTTTGGGAGACTGAGACAGGCAGATCATTTGAGCCTGAGAGTTAGAGACTAGCCTGGGCAACATGGCAAAAAAAATCCAAAAGTTAGCTAGCTGTAGTAGCAGATGCCTGTAGTCCCAGCTACTTAGGAGGTGAAGGTGGGAGGATCACCTGAACCTAGGGAGGGCAAAGCTGCAGTGAGCTGTTTGATTATGCCACTGCACTCCAGTCTAGGCGACGGGGTAGGAGCCTAATTTAAAAAAAAAAAGCCCACTGTAATTGTTATTTTGAAAACAATTCAATAGTCCTTTTGTTTTATCTTTATTTTTGAGACAGGGTCTTACTCTGTTGTCCAAGCTGGAGTGCAATAACGCAATCTCAGCTCATTGCAACCTCTACCTCCTGGGCTCAAGTGATCTTTGCACCTTAGCCTCCGAGGGAGCTGGGACTACAGTTGCACACCACCATGCCCAGCTAATTTTTGGTAGAGATGGGGTTTGCCATGTTACCCAGGCTAGTTTTCAACTCCTGAGCTCATTCAATCCACTCACCTCAGCCTCCCAAAGTGTTGGGATTACAGGTATGAGTCACCATGTCTGGCCTAGTATTCTTTTTAAGGAGAAAATTTTATCTGGGAATCTCTCAAAAACATAAAAGATTATTTTTCAGGAAATTAACTTGAATTAAATTTTGCTAGGGATACACTGGAAATAAACATTCAATAGGAGGTAAGTCAAATCATCACACATCCATAAAAGGGAGTATTTTGCAGCCACAGACAATTGTTCATAACAACCAATTGTTTATAACAAAAACTGCTCACAGAGGAAAATATATAAAATTCTATAGAATGATTAAATAGGCTAAAAACAGGAAAAAAGACTGGCAGCAAATAATACCAAAATGTCAACAAGTCTCTCTGGATAAGCGATTAGTAATGATTTTTAGTTTCATTCTACTTTTCTCTATTTTCTAAATTTTCAGTAAGTATGTTAACAACAGAAAAGAACATTAAAATGAGTTATTTAACACAGTATTTTTAAAATAATCCAATATAGTGCCTTGAAAACATGCCAATTTCCAAATATCTGCTCCTTCCTGTTTCTTCAACAATGGTGTTCTGAAGCATGACAGGAAACATGAAAAGGCAGTTTTTGTACACTTTACTTACATATTAGAGATTTTGAAGATCTACTACATAAGCCTACATATTCACATTGTATAGTTTTCTGCTGCCAAAACTACTAAATTAGTGGAAATCAGCCAAGAAAATGATGGTTTTACCACACACTCATAACTGCAGAGGCTTTACAGACTCTTTAAAGTCTTTTGTATAGTAATTTCAAAAGTAAAATCAGTTTGGTCTTTCCTAGGTGAAAACAAAACCTCTGAAATCAACTCCACTACAAAGCCATTTGCAGGCAATCAAGACTAAAGATACTTCTGGTGATGATGACTGGAAGAGCCTCATTACAAATCAAATAAATGAAAGTGAAAAGTTACCAAGTTTAGAAAATGACAGCCAGTCAAAAAAAAGAAAAGCACAAGAGATGCTGGAAAAAACAACAGATTAAAATAATGTAGATATAAGTGCTTTCAGTAGTGAAATGATGTAACTAAAATACTGGTACCGTTTTTACTAGAATGAAGTGGCCTATTTAAAGCTCTACAGTTGTCTTCACTTTTCCAACTTTTTCTGATATGAAGAAATTATATTACTCTTATATATTTGCTTTGAAGATGCATGATTTAAGACCGCTATCTTTTATTTGCAGAGTATACTGTGAGCATCCAATTCCCTTTAATTTTAAGTTTCTGTCTTCCCTCTGTATATTATTCTTTCTTTAAAGTGATTTTTGCTTCTTCAGTATCCTTTTTTACAGAATTTATGTATTGTATAACAGACATAGTGTGTGATCCTCTGTAATTTACGACTTTGTATCCTCTGGGGTTTGTGATTTTAATATAAATTTGAGACAATAACTGTCCATACTAGGCAAATTTTTTTTTTAGTTTGTAATGTTTTACTATGATTTAGGGATTTATTTTTCCCCCCAAAAAACAAAAATTACAAGCATAAAAACTCAGGTATCAGAAAGACTCAAAAGGCTGTTTTTCACTTTGTTCAGATTTTGTTTCCAGGCATTAAGTGTGTCATAGAGTTGTTGCCACTGCTGTTTTCCAAATGTCCGATGTGTGCTATGACTAAAAATTGAAAAAGTAAACACTGTTAGTCAACCTTTTATCCTCTGTTATTCTTTTATAAACTACAGATTTGAATCCAGTTAAAAGCAAGATTAAATACACCTAAGAGACATAATTTAAAATTGTAAAAGAATTTAAGAATTAATTACATAATTATTTTAAAAAAATCTTTACCATATTGATCCTAAGCCTTCTAATTCTCCTGAACAACTATATAAAGCAGACATGAAAGTCATTAGTATTCCAGCCAATGCTCAGCCATTAAATGAAATGTGCTGGAAAATAGGACTCTTTCATTAAATAAGCTAATCACATTCAGTCTGAGCTTTAATAAAATTATGATAAATAGCAACTATTTAACTACAGTCAACTGATAACACCACCTTGGTTCTCTAAACATTTAAGTGAAATAATCGGAACAAACTAAATCGTTCTATAAAATGCTGCAAAGCATTAAATATCTTACCTGACAACTACTTTTCTCTGCGTCTGATCAATTTTGCAGTAGACCATTTTAGTTCTTACAGCTGAAAAAGATGTTTCACATTGTATGTTATATGGAAAATTTCCAAGAAAAATAGCTAAGGTATGAAAACTGTGACAAAGTAAGCCATAATAAAACTTGTTTTCCAACATTACAAACTGATTGTTTAAATCTAATAAGCAAAGTAGTATGAGGCAACCAAGAAGAAGGTCATGTATTTGTCCTATGGCTGCTGGGACAATCTATATTAAATATTAAATACTGTTTGTTGTTGTTTCTTTATTTTTAAGAATTCTAGGTGTTCTTCCCCTGATCATCTCATATGGGGGAATAAACTAATTTCCTACAATGTTATTACTTCTTAACTCTTAGATCATTAGGGGAAAAAAGGTCAATAGTTCTGTACCTTTTATTAATCTTAATTGCATTATCCTAACTTTCCAATTTAAAAAGTTCAGAAAAAAATTCCTGAGCAGTTAAGTTGCTTTATAATACAGTAGTTGTCGGGGAAGAAGTTCTTGTTTCTAGGCTAATCATAAAAAAACTGGTAATAGTTAACACTTGTAGATCATTTACTATGTGCCAGGCACTATGCTTTACCTGTATTAATTCATTTAATCCTTACAACCACAAATGAATCCCTACATTCCTGTTTCACAAAGGAAGGACCTGGTTGTACATCCATGTCTAATATTAAAATCTGCGCTCTTAACTACAATTGTGTATTGCCTAAATGTCTTTGTTCTATGTGAATTGAAGGGATATAATATAGCAGTTTATATTTCTACTAAATTTTCACCCTACAACAAATATATCCACTAATCTACTAAACATACATCTGCTACAAACAAATCTGTAAGGCTCAGTTTCAAGATACATATCTATGTTCCACGTAGTAGATGAGAAATTCTAGAAATAAATGAAAATGTTTTATCTGCCTTACCATCGATAACAAATGCTTCAACATCATCAGCTCCAATCTGAAGTTCTTGCTGCATTGTATCAAAAGAAATTTCTTTATTTTCCACTGCCATTCCCATAAAAGTAAGTAGTCTCATTTTTGCCATATTTTGTTCATGTAATAGGCCTAAATAACAGAATAATGAAGCCTGATGAGTGTTTATACTAATTAAAGACCTGCACAATTACATCTCTTGTTGTAAAAATTATTCTTATTTTTGTCATTGTGGAAATTACTGTTTGAGCACTTAAATAATTTTGACAAAGCTTCCTATATTAGCAAACTATTAACTGACTCCATAGAGTATTAAAAATCATTTTTTTACAGTACCATATAGGTGATAGATTTGGGCCATAAAATGATTATTTTTAGACCCTAGAAGTTTTGTACATTTTTGTACAACATCAGTTACACATTTTAGGAGATAAAATCTACAACATATATTTCATAAGAACAATTTCTGTTCAGTTAAATTACCTAAGCTTATTTTCACATTAAGAGCTCTTCATTTAAAGACAGAGGATTTCTTATCTACCTACTAGTTTTTTCTGTGTTACTATTACTGGTAAACATGAAGTTTTAAAATATTTTCACAGATATTTTCAGTTATGAAAACATTCCATGTCACTTCAGGTCACCATTTAAAAATCAAAACTACATACGAATCAAAACTGTCAAAGTATGTTTGTCATTTAACCTTTATAGGCCAATACAGTTAGTATTAGATAAAATTAAACAGTACCATTAACAGTGATACTTGTTCTTTATAAGGTACAGGCAAAAAATTGCACAAATAATTCAAATTGTCCATTATAATTTCTAATGAAGCATGCTGTTGTAATTATTCAGATAACAATGTGTTAGTCCTAGAAGAAAATTTAAGGAATTACCCAGTCCAAATCTTTTCACCCTAAAAACAAAACTGAGGAGCAAAGAGATTAAATGGCAACTTATAGTCCAAAAGTAGCAGTGCTAGGCCTAGAATAGGTTCGTTTGTAAAATAAAGGGCTAGAAATTTTAAAACTTACAGATCCTAAATATATAACCTAGTCCTAAGTAGAAGCGGAATTCTACTTGTTTTGATGCTAACTTATTAATTAAAAAACCAAATTTCTAAATCTAGATTTACATCTTCCTTTTCTCTGAACTTTCAAATTACGTAAAATCAGCAAATGATCAATCAAGTGCCTTCTAATAAATTCAGAGCTTCAAGTCTGTATTGTTTAAAAAGTTATCTAAATACTCCATAAATAAATTTTAAATTTATAACATTCACATATTAGTAGAAGACCACAGAAACTCATTAATATAGGGCATGATCATCTGTTAATTAGCTGTAATTATGATACAGGCTTCCTATTTGGCACAGATTCAACAAAAACATGATCATCATAACTCAAATGAATGAGGTACACAAGTAAGTATTGCTAACTGCGTTTAATGGAAATCTACAGGCATCAAAAAATCAATTAGCGCACATTAACCCTAATTAACAAATGCAAATTAGATGCTGATTAACTTTCTGAAGCAAAAGGTAGCAACTGGATAACACCAGGTTATGTATAGACATGTTAGGGCAATTCAGTTGACACAAGATAATGCTACTGTTGGCCTAAGTTGTCAGTGTTAATAAAAGAAAATGTTTTGACAAACTGATTGCAACTTGTGGAATACAGACAGTTGACACTAGGCTTTTAGCTGTAATAAATGTTTAATTATACAATTAAAATATATACATTTAATATAAAAACATTTTCTCAGAAGCATATATACAAATTTCTAATAGAATACTGATTTATACAGATGTTCAAGAAACATAAGGCAAATGAGGGAATTTGTATTCTAGCTGGCACAATAAGCAATGTTCTGAATTTTTTCCTATCAAAGAACATGTATCAAAGATTTTTCCAAAAATTCCTTAACATTCTGTTTACTGATACTGATGATTCTCTTTCAATATGATAAAATGATAGAAACTCCTGCAATTTCTATTAAGTACTCTTGAAATTAAATCTATTTTACTGCTCATTTTTTCTGCAGTTACAATCTTACCATAAATGAAAAAATTTATCTGAGGAATGAAGATTATTTCTAGGCTGAATTATATAAAACCACTATCTATTTTACATGTGGAAATTTACATCTAAAAACACTTCAAACCGATGTTTAAAATAACTCTAAAACAGACAACCAAACTTAAAACCCTTAGGACTCTTGTTCTGAAAAATCAAACTACTAAACCAGTGAAGTATGAATTAAAGACTTTGTAGGAAGCTACGCTTTGTTTCATAAAACTAAAATACTACCTTCAAAGAGGAAGTCATGGTGTGCTGTGTCATATTTCAATTTTAAAGTTATAAAAAATCTAATTTTATGGAAACATTTATTCATTACTAATATGTCAAAACCTTAATGCAGTAATAAAAAAATGTGCATCATTGAGCAATTTCTGCATTGTCACTGACCCCTGTCTTAAAATGCTGCAATACAGAAAACCCAATTTTAATGCATGCAATAGCTTATGAACCAGTGCTCCTTTGAAACAGTCAATTACACATCAATGGGGGAGTGTCAAAGTGTTAATTACTACTCCTTTTTCCTTGGTGCGTAAATAAAGAGGTTGCTGACATTAACATTCCATCACACAGCTTCATGCTACAAAACAAATTAACTGGGACAGAATGTGGTTTTCTGGGTCTAGTGCACCTGGCAAAGCATTATACACAAACACACTTACATCTGCTTTATCTTGGTGTATTTCAAATTCCTTATTATATGTTCAGAATAAGTCAATCTTCCCCAATTCCAATGGATGCACAAAATTTACAGATGACAAGCATTAATAATTACCAAATTGAAAACTAAGAATAATCAGAGTAGATCCTAATTATACTCTTCATCTGTATCCTCAACAACCAGGAAGACTAACAATTCACTCTTAAAATTGGAAAATATAATCAATTTCTAATGTATTTTGATTATTGCCTCGTAGGAAAACAAAGCACCTTAGTTT